CACGACGAGAAAAAAAAAACAGGGCGAAACGGTTTTTTCTCGAACGGCAGAAACCCACTACAAAGTAGCGGGAATCTTAATGTGTTGTATGTACAGTTTTTCCTATTAATCATGCAATATAAGAGGATTGTGATAACATGTCCTCTCTGAAACTATTCCGATCCCTGGTATACCATTTTGTAGGTCATCGGGCCACTCCTGCCAATATTATTCGCGACGAAGCCGTGTATTTGTTGGCCGATTCGACGCACAATGATTAAGAGACGAGAATAGTCTCTCAGGGTGTGAACAAATCAGAGTCTTCCAAATTTCTCGCATTCGCTGTCTATCACGACCGAATTTATGCATTCCTGAAGCATACCTACAGAAATCACCGCCAACTGACCAATCTAGTAAGCATGATATAATGGAGATCTTCGATAATGTCCCTCCCAGCGATGGTCAGTTCCTCCTCGGGGAAGTCACGTGTATTCTGCCAATTACAAAGGGTAAATATAGAACTCAATGGTGCGGAAGAAATTAAATTACCAGACCTCAATCTCATCGCCTTTTGGTGCGGGGTGCTTCGACATCGTATCTTCAAGAGGAGTTTTCATCATACTCCGTAAGTCACACGCGATGATGGACAATATACAAAATTGCGCTTTATACAACCGATGTATCACATCGACGCCTATCGAAAGCAGATCCTTTCTTTCGTCGCAGCTCTCGATCAAAATATGCACTCCCTCGAGTGCAACCGTGTGCAATTCTTTCCGTCGCGATATTTAGATCGTTTACTATGACCAAAGATATGAAACTTGCGTCCTTCAGACAAATACCGCATAGTGAGACGAAGTAATCGAGTACGGCATTCATATCAGTTAGGTAGGTCTAATGAGGAAAACTCCGTGTCTAGGCATTGGATGTACGCAAGCTGGCAAAAGGTAGAGTTCTCTTGGGGAAGGGTAGAGTTGTCCTTTTTCACATCGTCGATGACTTTTTGTTGAACAATCAAAATGATTAAAGTACACCAATCTTTGAGTACCGACAATATTTGAGTAGTAATGAACCTATAACTAGGCCTTTCGAGACCTTTGACCGTGGTGTCCCATTGTTTTTGGTTGCTGACAATGTGTTTTTGGTTGCTGACAATGTGTTTTTGGTTGCTGACAATGTGTTTTTGGTTGCTGACAATGTGTTTTTGGTTGCTGACAATGTGTTTCTGGTTGCTGACAATGTGTTTTTGGTTGCTGACAATGATGGCGGAGGTGCATGATACGATCTCCCTCCAGATGGTGCACTCCATCGCGAATGTGAGATGAAACGAAAAGCTGGACTGGACTTGGAGGAGACGCGACGTGACACGTGACTGATTCTTGCTTGCTTGCTCTCATGGCCAGCTTAATCGCGATCCTCGACCTCAAAGGCAAGCCGCTCATCCAGCGTTCTTATCGCGACGATGTCCCTCCTTCCTACGTCGAGCGCTTTCTTCCCCTCGTTCTCGAGATCGAAGAAGACGGCCAGCAGGTCACCCCTTGTTTCTCAAGTCAGGGTGTCAATTACATGCATATCCGCCACTCCAATCTTTATCGTATGCAAGTTGTCTCTGTCTCATGCTGGCATACTAACATTCGCTAGTACTCGCACTATCTAAGCGTAACTCAAATGCAGCAGAGATCATTATATTCCTGCACAGATTAACCCAAGTCCTCATCGAGTACTTTAAAGAACTCGAAGAGGAGAGTATTCGCGACAATTTTGTCATAATATACGAGCTGATGGACGAAATGATGGACTTTGGCTACCCTCAAACCACCGAAAGCAAAATTCTACAAGAGTACGTCTTCGCTATGGCATGGTTAATCTCGCGGCATCAATGCCCTTCTAGATACATCACTCAGGAGTCATACAAACTTGAGGTACAGGTGCGCCCGCCGATGGCAGTGACAAATGCAGTGTCCTGGAGGACGGAGGGCATCAGATACAGAAAGAATGAAGTATTCCTCGACGTCATTGAGAGCGTCAATATGCTGGTGCGTTATTGCGCTCTATCTGTAGACAACATCTTGAAGACAGATAGGTCAATGCTAATGGGAACGTCGTACGGTCTGAGATACTTGGCGCAATCAAGATGAAGTGCTACCTGTCAGGTATGCCCGAGCTTCGGTTAGGGCTAAACGACAAGGTTATGTTCGAAAGCACCGGACGAAGTAAGTGCTCACTAGCTCATCTTGCTTCACCTCGCGCTGATCGCATATGTAGCCGCACGAGGCAAGGCTATTGAAATGGAGGACGTCAAATTCCATCAATGCGTGCGGCTTTCACGGTTTGAAAACGACCGTACCATCTCTTTCATTCCCCCAGATGGCGAGTTTGAGCTTATGTCATATCGTCTTTCTACACCCGTGAAACCCCTTGTATGGGTTGAAGCAGCGGTTGAGAGCCACAAGGGCAGCCGCGTAGAGTATGTCGTAAAGGTCAAGGCGCAATTCAAACGAAGGAGTACTGCGAACAATGTGGAAATATATGTGCCTGTACCCGACGACGCAGACAGCCCAAAGTTTAGAGTGAGTACTCCATGTGCGTGACTTAATTTTCGATTCAAACGATACGCAGGCATCGACAGGCACCGTTCAGTATGCTCCAGATAAGTCAGCCTTTGTGTGGAAAATCAAGCAGCTTGGAGGGAGTCGTGAGTTTCTGATGCGCGCGCACTTTGGATTGCCTAGCGTTAAAAGCGGTGTGTTCCAGCCGAGCTAATGTTCTTTCGATATCATCTCAACTCTGATTAGAAAACGATCTTGAGAAGCGTGCCCCCATTACGGTCAAGTTTGAGATCCCGTACTTCACAGTGTCGGGAATTCAAGTGCGGTACTTGAAGATAGTTGAGAAAAGTGGTTATCAAGCGCTGCCTTGGGTACGTTATATCACCCAGAATGGCGATGATTACAGGTGCCTTCTCTTGACTCCTGGGATGTCGTCAACACTCATGTTTGCGTCATAGCTTGCGGACGGCGTTAGAGAAAGGCAGCGCCCCAATTGTTCCAATGTGATTTTGTTGTATGAATAGACTGATTTGCCGCTCTTATTTCTGTATTGCTTCTTTCCTTCGATCATTAATGATACCCTTTCTCGGGGTGTTTACCCAAACCAGTCCAACAAAAATGGAATATACCTATATTGACCCATGATAGCTTTGCTGATTCGCACTCCTTTTTTCGTATCGCTGTCCCCGTTCATTGATATATTTTGCGTGACGTTTCTTTGAGCAGCAGCGCGCCAATCGGGACACGACCGCGAACTTTGACGCGTTTCCCACGTGACAGTCTAATTTTTTGACCTTTGACTTGAGACCATCTTCCGCGCGAGTCGCCCGTGACGATGGCCTCGACATCGAACACTCTTTCGCTGCCCGTGGTGCTCACCACTAAAACGCCTTACCCTCTTCCGTCCCAGAAGTTCATGATCCCAGCGACATGGCGACGATACCAGCTTTCCCAACTTGTTAACAAGGCTCTGTCGCTTTCCAAACCTATCCCATTCGACTTTTTAGTTAGGGGAGAGATTCTGAGAACCACCTTGGGTGAATGGTGTACGGAGAACGGTGTTGGAGAGGTAAGTACTGATACTTTCCCGCTCGAGATGCTTTCAACCCACGTGAGGATAGGAAGAAACCCTCGAAATCGAATACATAGAATCCGTCCTTCCCCCAGAAAAGGTCTCTGATTTTCCACATGAGGATTGGGTCTCTTCTGCTTCATGCAAGGTTCCAGGGTACGTTAACAAAATCTCTATACATCGTTCCATAGTTTACGCTTTGTGCAGGCAATTCTTTACAGCCTCATATGACGGCTCTATTCGATCATTCGACTACTCTAAAAACGCGACATCGAGCACGCTCGCACACAGTGCACCTATATCTTCCATCTGTGTAGTCTCTTCCTCAGATGACACCCATATCATCGCCAGTGCCTCACATGATCTTACCGCCCAAATTAATAAAATCACACTTGCAACTCCTGGTTCCTCAACCTCCTCAAAATCCACACCTCTAGCGACATTGCACCTTCACACTGCCCCGCTCTCCTCCATCGTATCCAACACCGCTGGCACCCATCTCCTCACGGCATCTTGGGACGGGCTCATCGGTTTTTGGGACACAACCGTGCCGGTCAAAGATGAGGTGCCTGAAGAAGAGGTGGGCGGGCGTGGGGGAAGACAGAAGCGAAGACGTGTGGAAGAAGGCCCACGACCGCCGAGAAAAGCACCTATCGAGGTTCTCAAATCGCATGTGGGACGTGTATCCGGGGTTGTATTTGCACCAGGCCTGGAGGAAAAGGCATATAGCTGTGGGTTTGACTCGACGGTGAGGGTATGGGATATGGAGAGTGGTGTGTCGGTGCATACCGTTGTGAGTTCTCATTTTTCTTGCATTCACATCGAATCGGTGGGATAAATTGTATCATACCACAGACGGCGTCAAACAAAGCCTTCCTTTCCCTTTCTGCTTTGCCAATGACGCCTGAAAGCATCCTCGTGACTTCGACGGACCGCACAATGATGCTTTATGATGTGCGGCTGCCTTCTCCCTCTGACACTAATGCACCAGTTTCCTTCTTACACCCCGCAACTCCGTCTTGCGTCGTCGTATCCGAGTCAGGCTCACAGCAGGTTGTGAGCGGTGCATACGATGGCATCGTGAGGTTGTGGGATCTCCGGAGTACCAAGGGTGCAGTGGCGAGCTTCAGCCCATGGGAGAAGGGGGTCAAGGTGCTTTGTGTTGAGTGGGGGCGCGGTGTTGTTGCAGTGGGTGGGGAAGGTGGATTCTCGGTGTGGAAGGTTGGTGAGAATGTATTGAGCTAAGAATGTTCATTATATCATCCCATCTATTACACCGCCGCACTGTGACCTAGATGTCGTCAATCGTTGTTCATGACTGAGGCAACATACAATCCCAACTATACAACACTGACTATTTGCTTTTATGACATATTCTACATAAGTGATTTGATCAACAAGCATTAATGGGGTAGTGGTAACCTGGGTCGTTGCCAGTACGGGTACTCGTGCTCATGTTCGACCCGCCGGGGGTTCGATTCCCCCTTAATGCATTGATTTTGGCTGTATATATTTTTTGTATCGGATGTTAGATCATTAGGGAGGAAACGAAACTATCTGTTGATTGCCAATTCTACATACATTCTTCACCAGTCGAAAGGATTCAAAACCACTCGATAGCATGGAATTAAATTTAAGTCGATGGTGAGGACGATACGAGTAAAGAGTTCGCACGCCTGCGTCTGTAACCTGTACTTAGCTTAACGACAAGAATTAGACCTCAAGCAGCACGTAGGTTCTACGGCCAGGGCTGCTGCTTCTTTGAACGAGGTCTTTCTCGCGTATTTCTCCCGCTGCCATAGGTCGCCATACATGTGATACATAAGCAGATGCTCCTTCTCCAAGTTAATCCTTCCTATGATCGATACACAACGACTATCGATGAAATAACTCTGCAACGGCTCTTTGTAACGTTAGTACAACGCAACAGCCAGAATCTATAGGGTTTTCTTCATGTAACATTACAGAACATCTAAGGTTGCACTAAGGTTGCGCACTGGTTTGAGGCACGAATATCCGGCTCCGTGTGGTGGGGACATGACGCTTGAGCAACAAAATTGACGATATCACCATTCATTAGATTTGCAACCTTCTTTCCAAGTCTGAGGAGGAACGATGGTATGATTAAAAGGATGTATTTTGTCCATCTACTGCATATCACCTATATCAGCACGCAAATCAATGCGGCGTTAACATTGATGGCGAATATAACACACCATCTAATAAATCATCGAGGACATGTCCGCACGAAGACGGTTGTAATCGAGCAGGCCCTCAATGTTACCCGTTGCGGCCAACGCGAACTAATCGAAAACAATGAGGAAGACAGATCCAACATGAAGAAAGTATCAACAACGCACGTCCTTATCCCACAAGTACTTTTGTGCAACGCGCTTGATTTCATCGACAGTTACAGCATCAACAGCACTCTCAATTTGTTGAGGGGTAAGGCGCTTTCCGCTCGTCACAAGTTGCCTGCCAATATCTTCTGCAACAGCTGTGGTGCCATCGAGACCAAGAAGAAGTCCAGCCTTGAGTTGGCTCTTAGCCCGCTCAACTTCAACCTCCGTCGGCGCTATACTCATACGCGTCCACTCGCGAAGCGTGAAGTGCATGAGGTCATCGAGGTTGAGAAGGTTCTCAGATACAAGGTAGATACCCCAAAGACCTGTGTCAGAGTACGAAGTCGAGAAAGACATGAACGAGTTGGCAAGGTTATTGGAGGAAATGATATGGGAAAGGCGGGAGGAGAGAAGAGGAGAGGCACCGAGAGCACGGTCCCAGTTACCGAAGATGCTCTGCATGACCATCATGGGGAAGTAGTCGGGCGAGCTCCAACCGACACCTTCAACAGCGATAGCGATATTGGCGGTGGGGATCTCATCATTGCGGATACGAACCTCCGAGCCAACAAAATTGGTCTTAGGATGAGAAAGACGTCCAAGAGGAATTGGCTTGGGAGACACAGGAAGTGTAGCAAAGTGCCTCTCAGCAAGTTTGACGAGCTCTTCGTGTTCAACGCCTCCAGTACCGACAAGAACCATACGATCAGCAGTGTAGTTGGTTTTAATGTACGAAGCAAGATCGTCACGCTTGATGGACATAATGTTCGCCGTCGGGCCAAGAATAGTGCGACCAAGAGGTTGTCCTGTGAGAAATATTTAGAAAGTTCACAATGCGATGTATGAACGAGGTCTAACATACCCTGGAAAGCAACGGCGTGAAGGTGGTCAAACACAACTTCCTCAAGCTGCTTGTCAACCTCCTCCTGCTCCCTCAAGATGACATCTCGTTCGCGTTCAATAGCAGCATTGTCGAGCCTGGAGTTCTGGAGAATATCGGATATGATGTCAACAGCAACAGGGACGTCCTTGCGGAAGCTCTTGGCATAGTACACAGTCTGTTCACGGGAGGTATAGGCATTGAGGTGAGCACCAATGTTCTCTACCTCAAGCTCAAGAGAATGTTGTGAACGACGGTTGGTTCCCTTGAAGGCCATGTGCTCCAAGAAGTGGGCAGTCCCATTAGTTTTGTCGGTCTCTGCCCGCGAACCGGCGTCAATCCAGACGCCAACTGTCGCGGTCTGAGCATGAGGTTGGGTCTCTGTGGCTACGGTGAGACCATTGGACAGCGTCGAGACCTGCGTCAAAGGTCCGGAAACGTTGTGCGCTGTCGCGTATGTCCGGAGTGGACGCTATGAACGTGTCAGACGATGAGCAACAGCTGGTGAGATTCTACTTGCCTGACTACGAGCAGCAGACCTGAGAACACGGCTGAGGACGGCTCTAGACACCATCGTCGTCGTCGTCGTCCACGGTGAGGTAAAGTTTTTTGCGTACAACTCCTTCGGGATTTCACGGCGCACTCGTTCTTCGGACTTTTCCGAGTATCGTGATCCGGTCATGTGATCCTTGCTGCGGATTCTGATTCTGAGTTCCCTTGCACCGAAGGTGCTGCGTTAATCGAAAGGCAGACGAATGGCTCTTCCCGTCCTATAGGTGAGGAGGAGTAGCCAAATCTCATCTTTGTGAGTCCATCACATACACAGCAGTATCGAGCCATAATTTACAGCTCAGTGGAATCCTAGTTGACCGATGACTGGTCACCATCAATTGCATCGGCCGCATGTGCCAGCCCTTTCATGACTTACCTTCACGCATCGAAAGGAGCTCTCTATACATTGACTCTCCTTAAGCGTGAAGATAGAGCTCTTCTGTCTACAAAATCCCAAAAATCCATGATTCAGCTCTTGTTGACTCTCCCAATGGCTACCTTACCATACAATGTTGGACCACCGTCTTCGAAAGTTCAAACTACCCTAGTCTACTATTCTGATGGTCCCATTTCGCATTTATATTATACTGTATACAGTCTGAAGCTATTTATATTTCTCTCTCATAAAGTCTTCTATGATTATGCACCAAATCCACCCATACAACGGCAGAAGTCTTTTAATCCACCTAGGCATCGTGATATCCACAATCCCAAAGGCACCTCCACCCTTCCCAAACATCTTATAAGTCTCCTGTAGATATCTCGGGCTCGAACAGGTCCCAACCACCTATATCGAGAGCCTCCGTAGTACTTAGATTTGCGGGTCGACTGGCGCGCATCCCACTTGTAACTGTCTGTACCCTCCACGACTTTCTCATATATTCATGCCAGCAACCTGGCGATGTCGGCCCAACCATAACCAATTGTTTAGGATCGAGCGGTCTGCTAGTCACCATTCCATTGTCGGAACCCCGCAGTGCGTTCAAACCCTGCTTTCTCGGTTTTGGTATATGAGACAAGGAGGCCTAAAACGCGCATCGCCTAGCCAAAGGGGCAGAACCTTGCGAATTTCAATAAAGCTCGAAATCATTCTTCCAACGGTTTACGAGTTCTTTAACGTCAGCGACAGGTACACCGTGAACCTGCGTCGTTAAGTTCGCCGGAGAAAGCCGTCAAAACTGGCTTTGGTTTCAAGGAAGAGAGGTTGATCATCAGAGACGGCTATAGTAAAGGAGGTTTCTCCTTGGAGTGACATCATGGGATACTAGGCAGGAAAACCACAATTCCGGATTCCATAATTCCAGATTCCATCGAAATTTACAGAGTAACTCGTGCAATTAAGTGATTTACCAATTCGATGCATTGTTACTGGCGCGTTTCCCCCGATCCACCTTCGCAATTTATTCGTGGGGATTATTCAATACTGCAACAAAGACCAGAAAGCTTGCTCGCAGCTACTCTTGCCACCCGGGCCCCCTGCCCCGTACTCACAGTAAGAAGGTAAAATTTTATACCGAAATTTCACTATCTACTGGCAAAAGAATATTTTCTCTCCAAGATCTCGTGTATCCCATGTATGCTGCTCGGGCTGCGTCCAGCTCCTCTGATGCAGAGCTTCCTGACCTTTGACTGTGTCGTGTCTAACTACTAGCTATTAGCGGGGATATTGCTCAGACAAAGTCAATTATGCCTTTCTATACAGGTGCCAATGTAAGTTCCCCCTTGCCGAAGATTGACGGAAGATACGAGACAGCCTCCTATCTTTGCCCTGTTGGCTTGGCAAAGGTTGTGCAAGCTCCTGACGTAAACGAAGAGAATCAATAAAGACAACCAACTCTTCGTCTCATACGCTGTTTGAATCCAAGCCTACCTCAACAGGGATCAAAATGACCACCGAACTTCATGAGAAAACTTAATGGAGGTTTGAATGATACCTTGATTCATGTAGAATGATTTTATTGTGATAGTGACACCAGCTTCAATTGAATTTGGACTCTCAGGACATGAGATCACATTTCCCTGGCCGCAAAGCACAGAAATGGGGCTGCAGAGCAATCGCACGGACGCCCCTCTGAACCATGCGATACCGAATATCATGCAATCGCGGTAATGCGGAATCAACGTCGCGTGCAGTTCCGTCGGGAAGTGTAGCACCAGTCCAGAACACCTAACGTTCTTCGTCAATAGAAATATTTTTCTGCTGAATGATCTCTACCCGCCTCAGCTGAGCTAGCAGCTCTAGGCCAAACAATGGAGTCCAAATTCTCGGATGACGATTGTTCCGTCCATAAGAGTTGCTGTCCTGTGGGAACAGATCATATCGATAGGACATTCTTATGAATGGTACAATCGATTTCCAAACCTCCAAGAACAAACGGTTTTTGTGCCTCGGTGAGATTTGCGAAGGGGTCAAACGTGTAGGACTGGAACTCGATATAAGCAGCCATCTCCAATAAGAGCTGATGTTGATATAAACCTTCTGCCACGTCTTGAACGGGTCGCACCAGCTATTTCTGTAATACGAGTACTGTAAATAATGAATATCGATGATCTAGACTCGAGTGAACTCGCCCAGTGGGATCTTGACCAATCCATTCCCCTGCGCCACAGTCGAACTCGAAAACCATCAGCATTTGGATCAAGTGATCATGCTACACTGCAATCATCTCACAAGATAAAAGTAATCCGAAGGCGCGTGTACGATATGGTAATTTTCGGC